GGCGTGTTCCTTAGGCTCCTCCCACAGTAGCACAGAGTTCTCATCTCAGACTTTATTTATGGAGCACATGTCAGTCTTCAGGTGGCGCTTATAAATCTGAACAATGGCTATTGGAAGCTCTCAGGTCTATTTTTTTTTCCCCCACTTAGGACAATACCTGACATGGAGGTTCTTTAACAGCATCTCAGGATATTTCCGTAGCTGGAAGATAGCCATTTTTTAAAGCATTTTAATACATTAGTTTATATTCTCATGTACCCATTGTGGGCCTGCCTATAATCCACTGAATGCCAGAAAAGGTTCTGCGGTTGAAATCAGAGGAAGTAATAAGAGGTCAAATCATTATTCGTGATTCTTCGCTTTTCAGTTGTATACCCAAATATAGGACAGCAACTGACACTTATTTTGTGTCTACTAAATTGTTGTTAAATTAAACAAAAATCAAGTCGTTCATGGAAGATACACTACTACATGAAATACAATATTTCCTTGGTCCTAAAATATGTTAATTGTAAGAAATGTTATCTCTTTAATAAAATCTTTTGAAGAGAAAAGTCACACTATCTTATTAACAGTCAAAGTACACCCGAGGAGAGGGAGTGGTATATACAAGGGAGAAAAGAGGAATATTTTGCAACATAGTTCACATAGGAGGACTTGTACAACATCGAGGGAGAATATGAACTAAATGTGGATATTTATTGTCTTTCTTGATGGATAATTTTCATAAAAAGAAACTGTACCTTTTTAAAATGAACAATTTTAAAGATTCAATATTATTCTTTGAAGTTATCAGCATCATCAAGATAATGAACATATGCATCACCCCAAAAGTTTCCTCATGTCTCTTTGTAATCCCTCCCCTAACTTCACTTCCCCTGTTCCCAGCAACACCTGTCATTGTAAATTAGTTCTCATACTGTATAATATTGTATAAACAGAATCGTATGTACTATCATCTGATATCTTTCAATCAGCGTAAATATTGTGAGATTCCCATAGTCTAAGATGTACAGGGGGTTCATTCCTCTTTTTTCCTGAAGTATTATTCATTATACAGCTATAAAATAATTTTACTATTCACCTGTTGATGTACGTTGGTTAGTCCCAGTTTGAGGCTGTTACAAATAAAGCTGCTATGAACATAACATGTAAAAGTATTTGTATGGACATATGGCTTTATTTCTCTTTAGTCAATAACTAGGGGAGTGGGAAATGGCTGGATCATACAGTAGTTGTATGATTGACTTTGTTAAAGTTATTTGTTTATTCTAGTAGCTTTTTTAAAGATTCATTTGGACTTTCTATCAAGACAATTACGTTGTCTGTGAATAACAATAGGTGTACTTCTTCCTTTCCATCAGTATGTCTTCTGTTTCTTTTTTTTTTTTTTTTTCCTAATTGCACTGGCTACGACTGCTAGTAAAATATTAAATAGGAGGCGTGAGAGCCAAAATTTTTCCCTTCTTCCTTATCTTAGCAGAAAAGCATTGTCTTTCACCATCAAGTATGACTCTTGATGTAGGTTTTTTGTGGAGGCCCTTTATTAAGTTGAGAAAATTTCCTTCAATTCTTAATTTGCTGTGAGTTTTTAATCAGGAATGGATGTTGGATTTGTCAAATGCTTTTTCTGTGCCTACTGAGACTACTCCCATTAAATGATCATCTACTGCATGTCAAACTCTGGATGTATTAATGACTAATTGTTGCAACAAAATATTAAGGAAGATATCATTCCCTGTTTAGCAAATAATGAAACAAAGTTCACTAGTGTCTACAAAGCACATGGCAGAGCTAAAAGTATTAAACACAGTTCTCTCTGATAGCAAAACCATGCTCTCTGGTTTTTACGTTACAGATCATTTTCAGAGAAAATTTGGGAGAAAGTCTATGTTAAGAAAATTACTTCTTGAGCTTTTGAAATATCTTAAGACAGAATGTTAACAGGTTCTTTATTTTTGCTAATAAAATAATTTTAAAAATAATTAAATAATTGCTGGTTTGGCTCTTTCACCAAAAGAGGAAAGAAAACATATGATAAAGGATACACAAACTGCAGTTTAGGAGCTGAACCTGTTAGTAGCTTAACAAGCTCAGAACAATTATTAGGCACCTGACTTGAGCAATGCACTGTAGCAAGGGTGACAAACTTTTCTATGCCTTTGTGAACCACCAAGAAACTGAAACTTCATTAATCGCTGGCTAGTGATAGCTCTCTCTGTTCCTTATTAAAACTTGCTTGTGACAAAGCAGGCTAGAGAATACTTCTTCAAATTAACCAGTATAAATATTTCTCAAAAATTTTTAAATAGAATTGCCTTATGATCAAGCAATTCCACTTTTGGGTCTATACCCAAAAAATTGAAAGAATTGGGTTATATGCAAAATATTGATATATTTAAATACATGTTTCCACCAAAAAATGGAGACCACCCAAAAGTCCATTCACAGATGACTAGATAAACAAAATGTGGTATGTATATACACTGCAATATTATTCAATCTTAAAAAGAGATTCTGCCTAACGTGATAACATGGGTGAATCTTGAGGACATTATGCTAGGTGAAATAAGTCCAATATGATAAACATTGCATGATTCCATTTCTATGAGTTATCTAAAATAGTCAAACTCATGGAAAGAGAAAGTAGAATAACAGTTGCCAGTGTCTAGAGGGACGGTAGAATGGGAAGTTAATGTTTAATAGCACAAATTTTCAGTTTTTCAAGATGAAAAGAGTTCCAGATAGAGATGGTAGTGTTGATTAGCCAGCAATGTACTTAGTATCCCTGGATAAGACACTTAAAATATTTAAAATCGTAAAAATGTATGTTAAAGTGATAAAAATTTTTTAACTTAAATCATTTTTAAAGACACTCCTTTTAAGAATTCTACCCTACACATCTGCTTTCCAAATGCAAATATAAAAGTGAGTTACAATACAAGATCACTTCCTAACCATTCAAATTTTAAGATAATGAGACAACAGGGTTACTGGAGAAAGGTAAGAAATCGGAGAGAATGAGGATTTTGGATTGTGGAACATTGATTGAACACAGAGAGCCTGGAGGTATGCAAATAAGCCTCGTGATGGCAAAAAAAAAAATGCTCTTGGATGAGTAGTGAGGGGCAAGAGCAGAGAAAAAAGATAATTCACACTCTGCTTTTTTACAATGTCCCACTAGAACCATAAATTACTGCTTATTTTATGAATAAAATTGGGGTGAGGCAGGTAAATGAACATTGTGGAACTGAGCTTTTCTATGAGAGACTCTTAATAAGATGGAAAGAGCATTAGCACAAAGTTTGTCACATAGTAGGCACCTTAGAAAGTAAATGAGAGTACTCTTAACTCCACTAATAAGTCTATATTAAACAAATTTATTAAACAACATAAAACAGCATAAAATACAACAAGGAAAACCACAAACAAATTTCATGGTTTTCCTTTTTAAAAGACTGCCTGTAACACAAAATATAGTCAATAAATATTTATTAAACAAATTGATCTGAAAATTCAACAATTCACACGTATTTTTACTGATTTCTCTGTCAGATGTTTCTGAATTTACTTAGTCAATTTGTCTAGCTCAATCTATCACCAAATAACAAATTGTTTATCGTAGCTATGCTTTGCTTCAATAAACAATTGCAACCCAAATTTCTAAGGATAAGAATGTTTTTGATAAACGATAACTCTACACATAGTTTACGAACCTAGATAAGTATTTTCTTAGAGTGTATTCTCTCAGACTCTACTGACACCTGTGCTGCCACAGCCCTCACTACTTCCTGTCGGTGATGGCAATTCTCAGCCTTGGTCCCTACAGCAGGTAATGCATCAGGCAGAGCCCTGGGGTTTTGGTATACCTTCCTCCCACACACTTCTCACTGTGGGCTCACTCAAGGCACAGAAATACAATGCGGAGTCCTCCAGCTGTGCAGCTGAGATGACAAGGTTGATGGAGTTCTTTGCTTTCTGAAAATTCAACGAGTAGCGACCTTCTGTGGCATTTTGCTTGCTGTAAGAGTCCTGACGAATAAGGAAAATCATCCCCCCACTGCTGGGTTGTTTGTACCAGAATAAGGTATAACTTGTAACACTGGTGTCATATCTGCAGTCCAGGGTCACGGCCTCCTTCTCCTGCACTAACATTGCCCGTTGGCCTTGAGTTACCTTCTGGGCAATACTGGATCCTGAAAAAAAAAAGAACAATGCAATAATAAAAAAAACTGGGATAAGTGGTGTGGCAGAAAAAAAAATCTTTTATATACCTGGCCACCTTTCCTTCCCAGGGTACCCATAATATACTGCCTGGATCCCCAGACCTTGAGTCACAGAAGAAACTCATTCCCACTAGGGCCACCCTTACCTAGCCACACTGAAGCTATGACCACCTCCAGAAATCTGGAGAGCAACATGTTCGTGTTCTTTCACTAGACAGAAAATATCTTCTTGTTCTTCAGTTTCAAGGCTCTGAAAGGTGAGGTGACTCTGACAGAGAGAGAGAAGAAATGCTGGGCTCTGTGTTGCTGCTGCCCCAGAACAGGAAACGGGTTTCCTGGTGTAACAAGTTTGTGGGGGTCACGTCAAATTCTCTATGTACTGGCTGAGAGTCTCACCCAACAGAAATTTCCTTTTTCATCAACCAACTCTTAATTTAAAAACAAATACATCTCAAAATAAACATGAGTAAAGTTTTATATTAAACAGAGGACTGATAATTGACCAACTGCTATATTCAGTCATTGCATCTGTGATGAAACTGAATGGTGGCACTTACTTAAAAATACTCTATGTAATAGATTATAGAAACAACATAAGATGTAATACTGATGTATCTTCACATCTGTGCATGCTGTAGTGTCACTTAAGGTAGAAATAAATCAGTTTCTGATAAAAGTCAAAGCTATTTATGCTAATCGCTGTAGTTCTGATCTACCAATTATTATGGCAATATTCCTGCTCACTGCTGATGTCTGTTCAGTTACCTATCCTGTGCAAATAGCAGGGAAAAAACTAATCTCCCTCTGCTGAAAAATAAAATAAAACCCTCAGATATGCACTCTTATCACAGAGGTCCCATTCTCTTCTCTGTTTACATTGATAACTCAGCTCTGCTCAGAAAGGCCAGATAAGACACCAGAGTTTGGTCATTCAGTTATTGGGATTTTAAACTTACATTTTCCCCATTACTTCAATCAGGACCCTAGAAGGTTCTGAACAAGCCTCTATATTCTTTCTGTATGCCTAGCTCTAAAGGGAATATATCTTAGGTGACCCCAGAGACCTCCATAGAATCACTGATTGCAATAGACCATTGTGTATGAATGTAAAAAGGAAGCCATGACTAAGGATATTACTCAACAATGTGCCAAACAACAAAGCCCCATTGCCTAGCATTGCCGGTCTCTTGATACAGTAGCCAAAACTTCTCTTCGTGTCTCAAAGTTATTGTAGCCTCAGCTAAGTTGGTTGAAGCATCTTCAGATCTTGCACTGGAATCACTGAGAAATCTGATGGTATCACATACCATACGAATTGTTCTCCTATCTAAAAACAGCCAATATTTATCTAACAGTTGGTTGAATAACTATAAAATATTATTTATTTTTCCTCATATGATTTAATTCTGTTAAACTTTTCAATTAAAAGAATCTCACTGTACTTCTGTCATTTAAGAAGGTTCCTGTCCATAACAGATAATATGGACTCTCCCTTACCAAAATCTTCCCTAATAGGTTTTGTAACATCTTACATCAATCATTGAAAGGGACAAAATCAGGCTGATTACTGCAGACAACTTTATAAATTCTGCTCCCTTAGCAGAAGCACAATTGGCTCAAGTAACAGAACTTGTACATTTCTCCTGGGCAGATTAAATTGTAAATATATACAGGGTGGTCATAAGTTTTAATGTAGCTCACATCTTTAAAATAATATGATGAAAATGCAGTTATTTTAACCATCTTAATATTTTCAGAACACTCTCATGTGTTTCATGAATCTCCATTGAAAATGTGCAGCAAATACATGAATTATTTGATATGTTCATGCTACTCAGAAAAATTTTTGTCATAATGAACAAAATCTCACATTATAAAAGACACTGGAAAACTAGGAAAATGTTCTTGAGCTAAATGTTGTGCTAAACATGCTTTTCTGACTCGAGTTCTTACGCAAGCAACAATTGGAAAACATAAAGACAATTCCACGGAAAAGAAAACTTGGCCCCCGGTATTATGAAGAATCTTGAGGAATTACTGATTTCTGTGATCCATGAGGACAAGATATATTAAAGCCAGAAAGGCTGCCTTAGGAAGCCAAATGTTCTTCAATGAACATCTGCTAAATTCCTCCAAAGACAACAGATCACAGTAGTGATATATTGTCCGCAATAATAAACACACTCTGGTGGGGAAACCTTTCTAGGATGGCAGAGATTGGGGCCAATTCATGAGTTTCTTGGAAAGAACAAAATCCCATAGAAAACTATGCATGAAAGATATAAACTGGAATATTGTCCCAAGGAAACATTTGAGTATATCTGAAATGATTGTACACAATTGCATTCCCTCCATTGGACATGATGTGTGGTAGGAATAGTATTTTGTTTGCTATGTGGCTTGATGCATTGTCCTGTCAAAAACCCACGGCCATCACAGTAGTTAAAAACCAACTTGATTTTCTGTTTACCACCTGTGCCAGTTCAATTTATCTCTATACAGACAACAAATTTCTTGGGAACAGTTATATAAGCTTTTGTCCTCACACAGAATCTTCGCTTTTCTTATCATCTCCCCAGTTTCTGAAAAACTGGAAAGAACAAATGGAATATTAAAACTGAAATGAATTACTGTATCAGACACTCCTAAAATCCAATGGACTAACGCATTTTTTTTTCCTTACCTCTCATGGACCTGCATTCCTCCCCTCACAAAGTTATATGTTGTATCACTATGAACTGGTCACCAATAGGCCTATCTAACTCAGAGTGTCCCAAACCATACATTTTTAATCTTTCACACCCTCAACTAGAAAAATATTCCTGTGATACCCAGTCCTTCCACCAAAAGCCATAGGTTGCTTTTCTTTAATCAGCCTTTGCATGACCTGAAACATTTGATGGGTGCTCTGAAAAGAATTTCAGAGACAGATTGCCATTGCACATTGCGACCTGTAACATGACCTTATTAGGTACTATTTACTATCAGTTCAGTAGATTAAAGTACAAGAAATTGATCCTTGGCTGCATGTTTCCCAACTAGAATGGCATCCTTAAAAGACAAGAGTTGAAAAATTACATTAGAAATCTTTAACTGCAGTTCTCCAGACATCATCAGAAGCAGACAGTCCACTAAACATGAGTACTCATTCGAGATCCTTGAAACAAGCATATAATTACATAAAGTAGACATCTTTACTCAATACCCTTAGGAGAGAGTTCTCCTAGATGATCGGAACCACTGATTGTCATATTCTCCTTTGCTTTCTTCCACTTTTCATACTTTTACACATACATTCACATTTTGATACTAGAATGTTTGATTTTTCTGATGTAACTGACTTTGTTCTCTTACTAATAAAATAACTTGCTTAGGTACAGCCTTTACTTGAGATAATCCCCACGCTAATGTTATAGTTCAGCTTTACAAAGCCATTGCTATGCAGCAAAGTAAAGACTTGTTGGATGTCATTCAATGCCAAGTCCTGGGAAAGCCAAATAATAACGATAACCCCTTTGGTACTGCTAGAGTGAATCGATAGAAATTCGTCATCAATAGAAATTCAAACACTTGAAATGATGAACTAGGCTAATAAAATTTACTTAATGTTTAAAATGCCAAGCATAGAAAAAACTGAGAGATTTTGGCAGGGGAGGAAATCATACATGTGCCCAGAGGCATGTGCTTCCTCTCACTAAGGATCAAACATCTCAACAGTTTATGTGTTGTATGGTTCCATTTATGTGACACTCTTAAAAAGATAAAAATACAGAAGAGACAGTGTTTGCAAGAACTTATGAATGGACAAGTGTGTAATTACTACAGGACAACAAAAAAGAATTTTGGGGAGCAATGGAGCTGTTCTGTACCATGATCATGGGACAGTTACAGGATCTATACAATGTATTCAGATTCAAAATTCATAGAATTGTGCACCAAAAATAGGCAATTTTTCTGCATGATTATTTAAAAATACAAATTAAGATCACTGAGATCAAAATGGCAAGCCAGGAATTTTCTACCATCTTCAGCTCCCTCCCCAAATTACCAATATTTACAATCATACACTAAATAAAGTGTCCAGGAGTCCAATAGAGAAGTTACTCTGTGGGAGAAGCACACCGTGGGAGCAAAAATATCTGAGATTGGAAGTATGAAAAGGGTAAGGGAAACGATCTCACTCTACCCTAGTCACTTTTCCCTCCATGCAGCACAGCTCAGTGCCAAGGGAAATCTTCTAAGTTTTGATTTTTTCCACAGGGAAAAGTGAGAGCATGTAAATGAGCACCTGCCTCCCCAGGACACTGGGGGATGCTGTCGAAGAGACCCACCTCTTTCTTGCCCCATCCGGAATACTGAGCTGTGCTGCCCAACGTGGAAGTAGGGAACACCTGTGAGAACAGCAGCCAGGGTTCTCCGTGGGCATTAAAGGGACAAGAATCCTACTAACCACGGAACAGAGTTCATCAGAAACCTGCCCATGAGCTGCTGAGACATTCTCCTGCAGATTCTCACAACCGCCTATAAGCACCCGCAAGGCTTAGCGCCT